AACTCCTGACCTTGAGCGATCCACCCGCGTCGGTCTCCCAGAGTGCTAGGATTATAGGCGTGAGCCACCGCGCCCGGCCAGGAGTCTTTGATATGGTCACAAAAAACATTTAAAGAACATTTTTCAATGAGAAGAATGATTTCTAGAAATTATGCTGTAATTACTTCAAATACAATCTTGCTATATTAGTATTTCCCTGGTATAGTTACACATAATGTTGGCTAGCGAATAGAGAATAATTCTAGACAAGAAATTAACAAAACAGTGGTACCTGCATATCTCTCTGTCGACACGAATTCTACAATTCTTCATTCAAAATGAAGTCTCATTGAGATATTAGACTGAGACACTATCTAGGAGAAGCTGAAAGTTCCTCTGACTAAACACCATACAAGAAAGAGATTATATATCATTGTTGCTATGGAAATTATTATGAGGTAAATAAAATAATATCTATATAAATATACTGTTTTCCTTACATATATTTGCAGATAATTCATTTTATTCAGTTAGTCACAGAAGAGTTGACTTTAATAAAAATATACCATGAGATCAGTGTAACTGGTTTATACAGTGTTATGCTGGAAAGAAACAGGCTGCTAACAGGATATAGACAGACCTCTCGTTCTGATCAATGCATTTTGATAAAGACTGAGGCAAAGGGGATAATGATTTAATTCCCATATATTATATTTTTGGGGCTTTTTTTTTTTTTTTAAAAGACAAGGCTCTTTTGCCCAGGTTGGAGTGCAGTGGTGTGATCATAACTCACTGTAACCTCAAACTCCTGGGTTCAAGTGAACCTCCTGCCTCAGCCTTGCCAAGCAGATGAACTGCAGATGCGTGCTACCATGACCGGCTAATTTTTTTTTTTAATTTTTATAGAGATAGGATCTCACTATGCTGCCCAGGCTGGTCTTGAACTCCTGGCCTCAAGCAGTCCTCCTGCCTCAGCCTCCCAAAGCGCTGAGAGGTATGAGCCACCATGCCCAGCCTTTTTTGGGCTTTTTTACTGGGGTGGATGCAGATGCAGAATGTAATTGGCATATGGTTTTGATGAACCTCCTTTACAAAGAATGTATCTTAACATAAGTCACTTTGTACCTGTCACTTCAGTACCTTCCACCTCATTGTGTGCGTTTCTGTCGTGAGTGTGTGTGTGTGTGTGTGTGTGTGTGTGCGTGTGTGACATGAGAGCCCATACTCAGGTGCTAGACTGCAAATTACTCACTTGCTGTATAACCTTGGACAAGCTGGCCAGTCTGTAAAATGGGAATAATGATAGGATCTTATTAGTATCAAATTAGTGTTGTGAGGATTAAAGGAGTTTATCAATGTAAAGATCGTAGAATAGTGGCTGGCACATAAAAACTGCTCCAAGGTGTTAGCTGTTATTATATGTGTTCCCAAGGCAGAAAAGTACCTTTAAACAGAAGATTAGGTAAATGTATCAAGTTAGGTAAATATGAAAAAAAAAATTATATTCTTAAATCTAACAGATAATAGTTTAAGATGCCCAAATTAATTAACTGTTATTTTACTGCCTGTGCTAACAGTCTTACCCCCAGAGAAACCCTATTTTTGTGAATCCTTGCCTAGGAGATGACATAAATCTCATCCTTAAGGATCTAAGAAAAGTCTTTATAATTTA